GCAAAAAACAAACCTGTCAGGCTTCATTCCAATCTTTACCAAGCATTATATAACATTATACTTTCCCAATAAATTTAACCTTATCAGTTTTTTAAAGACGTAAATTGTTTTAGAAGTTTTTCTGTTTTTATTCTGCGGGATTCACCTGAAGCACCCGGAGCAACCAACCCTCACCAACACAAAGAGAACCAACTCCACAGCAGGGATCGTGTTAACTGAATATTTTGCATATTTGACCATTTTGTTTTTCTTTCAAATTGTGACGAAGAAATGTGATTTATCCCCCCAAACCACTTGGTGGTGAGTTAGTACCTTAACTAGCTGTTTTCTCACTTTGACTTCATTAAGAAAAAGTATTGCACAACCACTGCTCCGCACAGAAAGACTCATGTCCTTCTTGCTGCGAGGCAACAATGCTAACCACTAACTCACCATGCTGATGCATCCTCCATCAGCTCATTCAGACTCAGCAGATTTAATTCTATCTCGTTCATCAGTCTAAATAATGCACGCAGTCTTCTCCACATTACCTTCAATCACACAGTGCTCTGGGACTGGGATCTGCCGCACCATGTCCCTACAGAACTCTCTGATCGTCTCCATGTTGTCTTTAAAATGGACGAAGACTTTATCATCTTCCTCCCCCTCCTCTTTCCTTCCGTTCATCCCTCCGGTTGGAGCACACGCAGCCTCCTTTCTGGCGTCAGCGTTGGGCGGAGCTGCGACGGGCAGGGAGCCGTCACCTGTCGGCTTCCTCTCAGACGGTGAAACTTCACAGTTTTCGGAGAGCTGATAGGACAACGTGTTGGGGAAGCAGCTGTCTGTGGTTTGCTCCGCCCCTTCGCCATCCTCYGCCGTGTCTGAGTCGATGGAGCATGAGCGCACTGCATGGAGAGCCAGGCTCTTTGATCTGGAAGATTGTGGCACAAAAAGTGCTGAGTTAGCATTAATCTGTGATTGTTTTGTTTCTGTTTTCTTAACATCAGTACTTGTTTGCTACACATTACAGTGAATTGTTTTCAGAGTTTGACTACACTATGTAGTTCTRTGGGGATAAAACAGGTGCAAAAAAGGGTGTGAGTGTAATTTTTGCAACAAATAGGACAAAAATTTAATTTCCAGAAGAAAGAAGAAGCTGCTGCTCTGCTGCATTTAAAGGAGTCAGCAGAGGTGGTTCATCAGATTAGGATGCATTCCTTTAGAGACATTTCAGGCATATCCTTTTGAAAACTTGAGAAAAAAAATAAAAGTGTGTATCATTTTACCTCAGTCAAAATACTAATTTTGTTGCAATATTTTTTTTACACCAGTTATGCTCGGAAGCACAAGAAAACACATTGAAGCTTTTTATTCAGGTGTTACCTTGAAGTTCAAACTTACTGAATGAACAGCAAAAATAAAAAAAACAGGTTTTTGAACTTAGTGCTAATGACAGAACTTTTATATAATCACAACATAAAGGTTGAAGTCCCAGAAGAGTCCTAAACAAAAGGAAATCATAGGAAGAGAGGAGCTTTTTCACTGGTATCTGTATTAACACAAATTGTTTTACCTTTAGAACAGAACTGTTTACTCTATCCAAACTCCATGTTTCAAAAATATCAATATCCCCAATGTAATGAGAAAAACTTTATGATCTAA